CCGCGGCCCTCCGGCTGCAGCAGCAGCTGCACCAGCCCCAGTGTGCAAACGCAGCTGAAGAGGAGCCCAAAATTAGCTCAGCTACAACCACGTCTGCTCCCAGTGCGTGCTCTGCATTCTCCCGTGGCCTCCGTGGAGAACTTGTTAATAACAGTGCTCCTGTTCGAACAGCTTAATTAAGGTAGTGACCAGGAGGGAGGCTTTTTTTTTTCCAGTAAAATAGAAAAATTGCATAACTTCTTCTTTCACTCCCAGTTATTAGTCCTACTCTTTAAAAGCAAACTGAATTACATTTTCTACTAAGCTGAGTAGAACCAACAGCCGTGCTGCAAAAATAATTCCTGTACCTTTCTTCAGTGTTTTTGGCAATAAACCACTGATAAGCAAGTACCACGTCATTCAAGTGACAGAAGCCCACTTTCACTCATTTGTTGCAAGCTAAGCGTATTTTAGTGCTACAGTGAAAGTACATATACTAAACCAAAGAAGTCTGTGCAGATATGTTTTCAAAATTAAGTGGTAGCAAAACCAGAATAATTTCAAGCTATGACATGAACGCTAGCATAAGCAAAGCGTCGCAGCTTCGGAAAACTAAAGCAGATTGGGGGAGTTTTGTTCCACTCCCCTTTTTACTTTTAATCCTTTTTAGACAACAAGGTAAATCTCAGAGTCCTCTCACTAATTTAAATTTTATTTACTTTTTAAGATGGACTCTATCAGCCTGCTGTTACCAAAATAGCTCTAAAAATATCCAGTACAGTCAGGAGAGCTCAGCTGTAGCTGCACTGAGGCGTCCACTACAGACAAAGTCCAAAATGTCATCTCAGCTCTTTTGCCTGCTACAGTGCAGCCTGGTTCATAAACCCAGGATAATTTTAATTTTAGACAACCTGCTTCAATGTATTTACTCCTCCTCCTCTCATAATTTGGAAAGATGACCAGAATAGCCACAAGGAAAAAACCCACATCATTCCCTGACACAAATCCTGCACACGAAGTTCTAGCAAGGACTGCTATTTTACAGTCAGAAATAGGAGGTTATCATGAAAAGTGCTGACACAGGCTTAAGTACAGGGGCATGAATGAGTCACTGTAATAATTAATCTTAAAAAAAAACCCTAAAAGTTCAGAGTATATAAAAGGAGCACTTCCTGCTTTATGGTTGCAAAGACCAAGCTAACTGGGAATATCATTCTCTCGGGTCCACGCTGCTTCTTAAATGAGATTACAGCGAGAGTGATGTACTGTAAGACGAGTCAGTTGTGACAAGCAGCACTTTATAGAGCTATCTGTTTGTCTCCATCACCACATCACACAATGTGTCCCAGGACTCCAATGTGCAACTCCATTTACCACTGCATGACAAATGGGCAGCGCTTGTAAAAGGCACAAAGAGGTCCACATCAGCCCTGTAATGGTCACCACAGATGCACCAGCGTGCTTGAGGGGGAAAAACCAGACCCCAAGTTCATTAAAGTGACCAGTAATGGATCTTTCAAAACGCGTCTCAGGAATAGTACAGTAAAGGCTAAAATAAATAACTCAGCATGGAAGGCTAATCTGAAATGGTGTTTGATAAATTATTTATAACACAGACAATTGTCTGCATTTAATATTGGCGCTACTGGTAGCATCTTTAAAAGATGATTTATGGGTTGTAATGCCATTAAGCTTTATATGGGCCCACTGCTAGCTATAAAGTCTGCTGAGATTTAGAGAATGAGTTTTAAACTGTCACTGCAACATCATAGTAGATAGAGACTGTATTAAATCTTTACTTTAAACCTGTTATCTGGAGAGTTGCATTTTGTAGACACTCAGGAACTGATAGATTACCTCTCTACAGCTGCTATGCTGCAAGTCCCAAACAGCACCAATAAGGAACTTTTACACATCATTCTTGTATATGACTTGAATCAAGTTTCTCTTCTCACTTAAGTAATTTCCAGATTTCAAGTGCTACTGAAAGAAAAAAGACATTTTCCTACAGCAGACGGGGATATTTTTACATCATATTAATACTATCTTCACTAATAGCATTTAAGCAAGTTTATTGTTACGTCTCCAGCAATAAAAGGAGCAGCTGAACAGCTTTGTGATTATTATTTCCTCAACATTTTGTAACTTCACAAGCAAGTTAAACAGGAGATGTCTTTTCCAGATTTAAAAACTGTAGAAAGGATTATTTTTGTGGGCTTTTTGGTTTTGGTTTTGTTGGTTTGTTTTGTGGGGTTTTTTTTGTATTCTTACCAAAGTGAAATGAATACCTTCTGCAGGTCACTGGCATCCTGTTACATCTATGATACATAATGCAGCTCAACCACAACGAGCCTTATCAAGGATTTGAAATATAGTACATAATGAATATTAGTATAGGATGAGTATGATAGTGTGTAAACATTTTTGTAAAAATAAAAAAAATATTTATCATAACTGTCTTTACAACAGAATGAAATTTTTCAAATTATATCATGTAAAAAGTCGATCCTACTTAAAGTGAGAATCCACAAGACTCACATGGGAAGAGAAGGAGAAAAAAAAAAAAAGAAGCTTCAGGAAGGACAATGATAATAAAATAAATCTATAAAGGAGTGTTGGGGATTTGGGGCTAGGAAAGTGATACCTCTTGAAGGACATAAGCACCTACAGAAGCATAATTAGACTTTGGAAGAGTAATCAGCAGACTACAACATGTGAGAGGGTGTGTAAGTCTGCCTGTTGGGAGAAGTCGTGGTAGAGATCAATACGTAACTGGAAGCAATGCTGAAATCTGCTGGCTAAGTCCAAGGAGAGAACAAAACGGAGCAGCAAAGGACTTTGTGTTTTTCTTGTAAAGGGAGGTTGAAAGACTCCATTAGTG